ACAATATATATTTTTAAATTCATAGTGATAATGTTGTATGTTAAAATAGAATCCTGATAGGTTTAGAATCAACTTAAATTAATTTCAAATAAACATAAGTTATAATAGAATTCCAAATTATATCCAAGTTGCTAAAGAATTTAAAATTAACTTAAATTTAAATTGAACATATTCTAAATTATTTTAACAAGTATATTATTATAGAATTTAGATAGATTTGGAATTTATTTAAAAATAATTATATTACAAATTATTACTTAAATACTACTATCATTATATAGTATTTTTACATTGATAATTGCTAGGATAACAGCTACTGCTACATGGTATATTCGCTTTTTTACATTTGCAATAAAATTTATTAAAAAAATTTTTACAATTACATTTTATATACTATCTATTCGTAATAAAGATTGTGCAATTGCTGCTTCTCGAATACTAACAAAAGCTAAAGAAATGTTGTCTAATTCTGGAAATTCATTAGATCTAAAGAAAGTAGTTTAGTAGCTTTTAGGTAGTTTAAATAATACTAGATTTATATCTGATTCTATAAGAGTCATTTGTTAAAACTTCAAAATCTTGTATAGTAATGTTTTTTGATCACTGTGTATTCTGTCAATTTCAGAAATTTTAATATAAATGAAATTTCTAATATTATACTTGTCTGCAAATTTTTTATTTCGCTTGGTTAGTTGTGACTTCATATGGGCTGAGTGCTGAGAAAAGGGACCAAATTCACATTTGGAAGATCACGAGATAAACACTGATTTGTGTTTTGAACACAACAATGATCGACATGCATCTGACCTAATTTTGGCATCGGAAAAATAGGCTGTGTAACCCGAAAACTTACGAAAATTTCCGAAAAGTGCTGAGAAAAGGGACGAAATTTAGAAAAATATGATTGGCTAGAATTTATAGTTATACCTCTAATTTTTGAAGACATAAGATAGAATACAATACAATATATAAATTGTAAATTTATTCTGCACAAATATACCCAAGTACGACTGTATTAAAATTTATAAGGTATTGCTTGCCACAATATCTTTTCGGATTTTGCGGTATGGATAATAGGACGTTGCTTTCAAATTTTCATTAATTAAAATTTGACGCACGTAGCACGTCATATTCTGATCGGTAAAGACAATAAATAACGAATTAAACCAGCAAACTTATTTATTTATTTTTATACTACATACCAAACGTAAAATAATATAAATTTTAATGATTTTTTGCATGTGTCTTGTAAACACAACCCAACCGCATCAGTAGTTCTTCGAAATTACAGTACTGTACCATCATTCTTTCCCCCTACCTTGATCAATTTCTTCAGTTTTATATTTTGAAGCTAGTATCAAAGGCAATACGTCGTGAAATTTATGGATATAGCACCGGGAATTTTAATAATTTTGCACACTTACCATTACACGATTGTTTGAGTGCCCCGGTTATGTTTATCTAACTGAATATTCAAGTTTTCAATGACACAACCTTAATTTAAAATTATTACAAACCATTAAGTTTACTTGACAGATTTTGTAAAACAACTGAGTTTTGAATGATCTATGTATTTATTATGCGCCTTTTATTTCCTCTATTATTCACATGTTTACAATTTTTTCGAAGGTTTAAAATGAAAACAAATAAAGTGTTCCAAGCTATGTTGTAAAGAAAATAATAAAAAATGTTTTTTTTTAAAGAAATTCTTATCTTCAAAAATAGGTCATTAAATTTATTTGGCTTTAGAGCGGGGTACTGATGGCAGCAGACAAAATTCATCTTTTTTTATAGGATCACAAATATGGTTACGAATTTGTTCGTACAGATACCACTGCCGCTCTGGTGTTAATTGTTTTGCTAAAAGAGAAGCAGGAAGATTTGACGAAGGAAATAAATTTATTTTGTTTTGTTTTAGTAATGTGATTTCTGTTTTCTTATCGCAAATAGCTGATTTTATTTCTACTTTTCCAGGTTTTTCTGACGAAATAATGAAATGGTGTTGTTTTAGAATTTGGAGAATATTTCCAAATGATTCATTTAAAAATTCATCCCATTTATAAAACTTAACTTTCTGAGTACCGTTTGAATCATAAACCGTTTGTGTAGTGTTATAACCGTCAACAGTGGAATCTTGAACAACTCGAACCATATCTGCCAAGTTATCTACTTCAGAGTGTCTAAGTTTTAATTTAATAAGTCCAAAGAATCTATCTGGAGAGAATTTTGTGTGACCAGCCACCATGAATGAGTATATAATTCGTTTATACAAACCATTTAATACACGCCACATCAAATATTTTATCATAGCATTATTTTTGTTTTGACCTGGGCAGTTATCAGCGTGAATAACAACATACTTTTCTCCAAGACCGTGATTTTCGAAATAATGGTGAACCATTGATATAACAGCATTCGCACCCTTTCCAAAGTTCTCACTTTCTTTAATTAAATAATTTTTCTAAACCATAAAATTATTTTATTACAATAGATTCTTAATTAGCACTTCGCAAAATCAAATCAAATTTTGAATTTGAATCAAATATTTGATCAAATTTTTAATTAATTTGATCGAATAATTGATTCAAATTCAAAATTTGATTTGATTTTGTAGAGTACTATTTTTAACGAACTGGTTAAAATAATAAATACTTGCCGCGGAAAGGCATCCTCACATATCCCGAAGATTGAGACTTTATATAATGATTTAAAATAAATGGACCCCTCAAAAAATAAAATAAAATAATTAAAATATTATGTATAATAAAATTAAATTTTGTTTAAGATTATTTCAAATATTTTACTTTAAATGATGCAAGTACAGTCTAACAATTTTTTTTCATTTTAATATTTAACAATATAAATTTTATTTCATTTTTCGATAAATTTCAATTAAACTTAATAAGAAGTTCACTGATTCGATTTCAAAATTTTGAGCACAATAAGATTTTTACTCTTGACCACTATTTATAGTACCTGGGTTTTATTCTGAAATAGAGATATACCTCGCGCAAGGTAAAACTAGCATATATTCCAAGAATCATATGACTTTGTGCGAAGTGCAAAGCAATGCCGTTCAAAAAAAATTTTACCTAAGACAAATCACCGGCCGCTGAGCTTTTTTTTTGGTTTAAAATTTACTTCACGCAAGGTATAATATAATAATTTGTGTAAGGGTGATCTTGCAAGGTATATCTCTATTCAGAAATCCTATTTCTAAATAATACCTATAAGTACCGTATGAAGAACCAGATATTATATTTAGAAATATATAATGAATCCAATATAGTTATATCCTGGGTTCTACTCAACAAACAGGCTGAAGGATGGTGAGTAATACCCAAGTCTTAATCATAAAAGTATTATTTATAAGGGATACTGTAAGTAGTGATCAATGATAATACTTCCATTTATTTCTAAAATACGCAGATGAAACCACTTAATATTCATAATTACCTCTTGTTGAGAGGAAAACAGAAGATGAACGGCTTCAGCAAAGTCCCAGGAAACATGATTTTCAAAATCTAAAGAATTGGGTGTTCCTGGTCGTATGAGCATAGACGGATCATTAAAAAAACTTAACTGTTGCTTCGTATTAAGTATACATCTCCTAAAATTTTAATTCATATAAAATAAAATAATCGCTATAAAAAAAAAAAAGACTATTATTATAAGTAGAAGTTGGGCTCGTTGAGAAACTCTTTACCCAGGTATTATTAAATTACTCGAGTTGTCTGGAAAATTATTATATTTCAAATACAGTAAAACCTCTGTAAGTACACACGCTTAAGACCAAACTTTAACAACGTGCACTTAGAGAACAAAAATAAAAAGTGCATTTATAGAGGTTATACGTGTATTTAGGCCCAAATTTGAGTATGCGTTTAGGGTGCATTTATGGAGGTTTTACTATAGTTATATTTCTACTCGAGCCCAATCTTTAATCATAGGTTCTCTTACTTGTAATATTCTTGTTCTTTATGTGCCCACTTAATATGGTCACTCCATTGTTGAACATTTTGATCTCGTTTACTTTCTGCCCAGAATTGAGCGTTAAATCGCATATTTTTACAAAGTGTACATAGGTCATTTCGAGGTGATAAAAAACGAATTTCTGGTACATATTTTTTCCAGATTCGCACAAAAGACCATCGGCTAATATTAAACTCGGAAGTTTCGTCTAAACTTGATTGATAAATACGATATAATCCAACATAACTTTCACTTGCAGGAAGATATATAATAACTGTAGTGTCTTCGCGAAAATGACGACCTAATAAAAAAAATTTTTTTTATTATGCATATATTATTAATTAATATACTTACGATAGTTCACAAAAATAAATTGATATATCAAATATTATCAATTTATTGTATGACCATGTTACTGCCATACCAATTTTGATCATATTTGTACTAATTTTTTCTTTTCTGTTTTTAAAACTAATAGTACTGTAAATTATTGTTAGCATTAAAAAATTCTATACATAAAAAAAAACTTTGGTTTATATTATTTTAAAGCCCTATTATCTATTTAATATGATCAAATAGATACGATAATAATAACTGTTAGATGATAATAATGTTATCGTATTAAGACAAAAAATTCAACACGATGGTATGAATATAGGTCAGCGAATAAATTAAATATCTGAGAAATCCACTGTACCGATATTTTTTACTCGCTATACGATAACTTAATATTAATTTACCTGGCGACGGCAACCCATGGCAATTTGCATAATTGATAATAAATGTAAGAACATTTAAAATAACTAAAAATGACAAAGCATGATAAGATCTTCTTCCTGAAAGCGCATTTACAATTGGTTTAATACCATTAACCCGGTAATGATTACGAATGGTTTTCCACTTTTTATCTGATAACGAATATATAGTCTGAAAAGCTTTCTCGCAAATTTCACTATCATTAAAAGTATATTTAACGGTTAAATATTGTTTTTCTTTACCATCTTTTGAACGGGCCATTGTATGAAGCATTCCTAACATAAACATATTACATTCAGTTTTTGATAACTTTCGAATACTATCAAACATTTGAAATGCAAATTCATGATCAATTTTAGTTAAACACTTTTTGGTTTTGCAACAAACTAATGTACGAAGTTTTAAAAAAAAAGCATCCTTCTCTTGCTGATCTAGAAGAGTTGCTAATTGTTCATTAATTTCGGGCTCTTCATTATTTTCTTCTATAGGATGCTGGACAAATATTCTTTGAAATTGTTCGATTTGTAATGGTATAATAATTTGATTATCAAATTGTATTTCTTCGTTATCTTTTATTTCTTTATCTTTACTAAATTTTACATTTTCGGTAGGTGATTCTTCTGTTTCTAATTTTTCTTTAAATTTTAACTCATAATCGTTACTTGCTTGATAGAAAGTTTTGAGTTGATTAAATTCTTTTGCTAACGAATGTATTTCTGAATGTGTTTCTGAAAAAATTGAAGAAACTAATGTATGTGTCAAGTCTATTTTTTTTTTTTTGATAAAATCGAACACGGAATCAAACAAAATGCATAGTTTATAGCTAAAGTTGCTGGTAGAATTAAACTAGAGTTAAACTAGAGTAATGAAATAATTTCACTGTTATTTGTGAAATTGGTATTGAATTGGTGGAATTTGGTGAATTAATTTCGCCAGC